TTATTGTCATTGTCATCATTATATTAACTTGATTTTTTTGCCCAGAATGTCATGAACAGATTATTCTTTTGATTGGTGATAAGATTATTCCTTGCTCCATCCTGAAAGCACCAGTCTAGTACATTTGAGAAAAGCTGAAATGGTCTCCATTTTGTTCTCCCCTTGAACTGAGTGAAGGCAGACACCACACAGCCAAGGGGAGGAACACAGGCCCACAAGGGAATCTTCGAACCTCATGGCCTCTGATCGTGGCCCTCTCATGACCAGTGAGAGGTGTGAGCAGCGAAGCACCAATCTCTGAGGGCTTCTGTGGCCCTCTTCTTGTCAGTACCATTGCTGACATGGTACCATAATTTGGGCAAACACCTGATAGTGCTTTATGTTATGGTTGCATTTCATGTCTGCAAGCAGACCTGACTTACTGTCTTTGATGTTGTCTTTCTCTGCCATCTTGTACATATCCACTGTCATAAATCCGGAGATACCTGGGGGGGAATGCTGGGTCGCTGAGAACAAGCAGAATGGTAGTTAGCTAAAACGCTATGGGGGAATGGGATAGGACGAGCCCAGTGATTTCATGATAAAAAAGGCAGACTGAAAGGATACATTGGAGTAATTGAAAGATAAATAACACTTAAAAAGCCCAAGAAGCTGCTAAATGGAGTAAAATGATAATAACAGGTATATTCAAAGTACATGAGGTTAGAAAGCAAAAGGGCTAAAAACAAGTAAATGACAGTTATTACTGTGATACCGTAGTAAGATAAAATTTTCAAAGTGAGAAAATAAAATAAGGGAATGCTAACTATAGGGGGCAGTCCAAAGTTAATAATCCCATGCAGGGGCAAAGGCAGACCTTTGGGCTGAGGTAGCAGATGTTTATTCAGCCCTTCTGAGGGGCCGGTGCTCTGTGTGTATTTAATCACTTAGTTCTCACAACAGTCCTATAGAGTAAGTACAGGTATTATATCCATTTTACAGGTGAAGATGCTGAGACTTGGAGAGGTGAAAGAAAACTATTCAAATTGTGTAGAATTTAGATAGGCAAGTTGGGATTGGGAGCCAGGTATGCATCCTAACCTCTAGGTTGTTCTGCAGATGCGCAGTGGACTTCCAGGGCTAGTGTTAGCCAGAGGAATCCCGTGGGAGCTGACATCTGTCGGGCACTGAGTCCTCAGGTTCTCCCTTCAGACTTACTCCCTCGTACGCCTCCGTGGCCTCCTGGGCCTCTTCCTGCTGCTCTCAAAGGTGAATCTATAGCTGCCCTGGCTGTTCCCATTTTCCTTCTGGCTCACGGGGGTTCCTTCACAGGTTCTTTCTCCAGGAGCTCCAGACAGCTTTCCCAATCCCATGCACTGTGCCTTCTGAATTTCCCTTCCACGTCCGAGGACAGATGTATGGGCTTCAAGAAAGGCCAAGTAAGGAGGATGTAGTTCAGGTGGCCAGGGAAGTTCAGGTCTAGCATAAACTGGTGGAAGTGAAGTGTCATGCATGAAATTAACTCATTAAAGTGTTTGTGTTCGTGTTCCTATTATGTGCTGGGTACCATAGTGGTGTTGAAGATTGGAGACCCAAAGAAACATAAGAAAATGAGATTATGATTTTCAAGGTGGAACAGACTGAAAAGCAGAGTAGTAGTGCTGGGATTATGTGTGGCTGTCCATGCCCAGCCCAAATGCCACTTCAGTCCACCAAGTTTACCTTGATATCCCCCATCTCCAAATCAAAATTTGTCACTTACTTCTTCACAATTTCATAGAACTTCCTTCACATTGCTCTCATGACGGTTATTTTTCCCTTGCTTTACAGGAATACATCTCTGTCTTCAACCAGGGACTCCTTGGGGCAGGAACTGACTTACTAACTTCATTTCCCGTGAGCACAATACCAGGCAAGTACATGTGCCATCAAAGCTTGCTGGGTTGGGTAGGTGTCAGGATGGCTAGAAGAATGTCCAGTAAAGGACAGAAATAAAAGAACTACCCTCCATGGAAGGGATGCAATGTACTGCTGTTCAGGCAGGCAGGCTCTGGGGTTGAATAGACTGTAGCTCAAATTCATTCTTGGTTATTTCCAGCTGTGTGACTTTGGGAGCCTCCTAAAGCTTTGATTTCCTCAACTGTGAGATGGACAACTGTCAAACAGCATGGATCTCAATGGACAGAACAAGAGGACCCATGTGCTGGCATGTGGTAAGTGCCCAACAGCTGGTAGTGGCAATTCCTGCCATTGGTGCTGGCCCAAGAAAGGATGTACATACAGCCCTTAGAGGGGAGGCAGCTGTTTTCCCACTGCGAGGCACCAGGGCCTGATGCTGAGCAAAACTTGGTGGTGCCACCAACTGTCATCTCTTGTTCAGGCTTGACCGAGAAAATGTTTCCACAGACATGGACCAGTTCAGCAAAACCAGTGATGGATTTTGGAGGGGCTGGGGGTGATTGGAAATGCTAGACACTCAGGGTGAGAGCCGCAGAAGAGAGCCATCCTCCTGATCCAGCACAGCACTTGACCCCTGCCTCTGTCTGTCTTAGCTTGCAGCCCCCGGGGGAAAGAATTGTCTGTGCCTCTGTCTGTCTTTTCAACCAGGAGCCCTTGGAAGGGAAGCCCCACTTGTCACCTTCATTTCTATGTCCCCAGCCCTTGTCCTATGCACTGGGCCTCATCCTAAGCAGGCATTCAAAATGCTTGTGAAGGAATAGCTTTGTGTCCTAGTTACAGCCCTAACCTCCACCAGATGCTCAAGGACTGCTCTGATTTTGTAAGGAGGAGTGACTACTCAGGGAAACTGAGGCACACTTCACTCCCTCAGTCTGCAATGAGACACATGCATCTTCAGCAGCAGGAAAGTGGGGCTGTAAATGAGGATTTTGTCTTTAATTCCTGCTCCAGTTCTGGCAAAGAACCTTCCTCAGTTGGAATGGAGGGAGAACTGAGCTCCTGACACTGCCTCTTAGTCTTAGGGGGCTGCAGAGTGCCCCTCTCTGATGGTATCTCCTCAGCTGTTTGCAGAACATTCGGGGAGGAGGTGAAGCCCTGAGCCAGGCTGCCTGGCTGTCTCTTTAAATGCCGGGGTCTGTGTGGGAGAGGGAGGGGCTGCTCTGGAGTGCGTGAAATTCCTGGGCTCCTCCAGCAGTCTCAGGCTCAGAGCTCAGCCCTACACATCTCTTCTCTCGTGCAACTCACTGAGAGGGAGAGGCGAGCGTGTCCTTTCCTCTCGCAGCCGCCAGCATCTCAAGCCTCCAAGGACCTGCTTTTCACACCTCCAACACCCCCCTCCCTTCTTCCCCGCCACTCCTTCCCCAAGAGAGAGAGGAAAAGAAAAGGAGAAAGATTCTGGAATTTGAACCTTCCCAAAGAGGAAACATACCCAGCAAACTCAGTTGATTAAACATCAAACAAACAAACAGATCCCAGATCTTCAGCTGGAAAGGTAAGATCTAGGGGGAAAGGAAGACAGGAAGGATGTGGAACAACTCAAGGTTCTTGTTGGTTCTGGGAAGAGGTTGCTCCTGAGAGGGCAGAAGTTTTCAGTTGGGAGCAACCAACCTAGATTTTTTTTGAATGCTGGAGCCGAGAGCCTCGCTGACCGCGGGAAGGGCTTTTCGGCTGCCTTTCTTTTGCTTCCGTTTCTCCTGGAAGTTAGTCTTTTTGCCCCACATGTTGGAAAAGCCAAAGAATGTTTTTGGATTTTTTTTTTTTACCTTTTTCTTTTCGAGTCTCTCTCCTATTGCTTGGGTTGTCAGTCTGGATGTGTGCTCCTCACTTCATTTGGGGCAGATAGTTTTTTGGCTTTTTGTAGCCACTTTTCCTCCTCTTCATTATTTTTTCTGGGGAAGGGGCTGGTTCAAATGAGAAAGAGAAGGGACGCTCTGAGGATTATAGGAAGGCAGAACTGAACAGAGGCAGGAATCTCTCTAGCTGTTGAGGAACTGAGATGTGTATGTGTGTGTGTCAGTGTGTTTGAGTGTGACTTTTTTTTAAGGGAGTGTGAAGGGGAGGTTCCTGAGTCTGAATACTCAGGCTGGATTGCCGCTGTCTTTCTGTGAAGGTGGGCATACTCAGAGTAGGTGAAAAGGGAGTGTGTATGAGTGTGTGTATGTGTGTGTGCGCGCGTGTGCGTGCCTGTTTGGATCCGTTACAAGGGAATCTTCCTCCTCTGCCTTCCATTTGTTTATATTAATGATTTAGTAGCAGGCTTGCCTGAAAACTTCCACTCTGTGTAAGCACTGTGGGTTTTGCAAGCTCTCAGTGACCTTAAAGGCTGGTTTGATGTATTTTTTTTTTTTCAGGGCATTGTGTTGTACCCAGAGTTTTGGCTCTTTCCCTCTTTTTTTTTAAGCACAAAACTTAACTGCTTTAGAAATGCTGTCCTGATGACAAGGGAAAAAAATCTGCCCCTCCACCCCCATCCCTTCCTAGGCCAGTGATGTAATACCAACCTATGGGTTCGGCTGCTTTGTAGGTGACTTACCCTGTGATTAATTGTTAAAACAAAATAAGTGTCTCTCTTCCTCCATTAAATGTCTTCCTCTTTCGATATGGATGTAGAAATATCATCATGCAGTGAGAAAATTATATCTTTCTTAACCATTATTAGGGTTTAGGTAAAGTAGGATTCCTCTCCCTTGATCATTATTATTATTATTTATTTTTTAAATGCAAAGGTCAGAGATCACATAGAGTTAGCCTAGGATGGAGCTAGACACAGACTAAATAGGAGACCGAGAGAGCAGGAGCTGGCATCTCCCCGCTTCCTCCGGTCATTCCCGCTTGGGGAGGTAGTTTTCTTTTGCCACCACAATCCACCCCAACATTCTTAATTCTTTTTTTCCCCTGGATCCTGTGGATGGCCTGGGAGGGAGAGGGGAGCTCCTTCTCGCACCTGGAGGACGGTGTAGTTTCAGGGGTCAGATGACCGTTTGTCTTTGTGATGAAGGTTCCAATGGAAATTTGAACTCCCAGCATGCTGGGTGACTCTGTCCCCAGGATAGTCTATCTGGGGGGCACCTGGAGGTTAGGTCTGGGGAGTCTGAAGAACTAGCCCTTTATGAATTTGCCGTTCTGGGTAGAGCCTCCCTTCATCGTTCAAGGGCTTCTGCATCGCCTTTCGAGTTACAATGGTCCCGCTGATTGTGATGGGCAAGTTTACCTAAGGGCTGTTGGGTACGTGGTGGAAGGATGGAGGGGAGAGAGACATAGCCGGGCTGGTATTTTTTTTTTTAATCTTCTGCTTTTATCTGCCTAAGTCATATTGGGGCAAACGATATTTCAGATGGGTGCTGGTTGTTCAGAGATATTCCTATTGTTTGATTTTGGGGGGGATGTTGGGGAGTGGAGAGTAAGCTGTCGGCCCATTTTCTGCAGCCTGGGGTTCATCCTGTGAGCCAGTCTTCCTTCTGGATGAAGGGAAAAAGGCTGGATGCTGGAAGTTCGCTATTAAAGTGAGCAACAGGGCTGGGTTAATTTAAAAAAAAAAACAAAAAACAAGTGGACTGTGTGAGTGCCCTTTTCTGGAGCTTTCCAGCCCTTTCTAGTGAAATAATAATTTAAAAAAATTGCTTCTTAAGATGAGGGGCCAGAAATCAGAGGGAGTCTAGATTTTGTGAGACAACTACATTTTTGCTCCTCTGATAGCTCCCTATTATTAATTATTGGGGGTCTGATGGGGGTCTGGCCTCCTTTTTTGTTGATTTCTTTTTCATGCTGCGTTTTCTACTCAATATGTTGATGATGTGCTGCTTATATAAGAGAAATGCATCGAGGTGGATTGATGCTTAGGGTTTTGAGATCGGCCACCGAGATTGGGTGGCGGTTGATGTGTTTGTCGATGTGTATGGTAGGAAGGTCTTTTCTTTGGGTGGTGGGGGATAAGGGGATGGTTGGGAAATGGTAGATGAGATGCTACCGCAAATGGGGACATGAGGGGCGATGGAGGTGAGGTTGGAAGTCACCGGTTTGCAGAATTTCTGTCTTGCATCCCCCTTTCTCCCGCTCTTTGGGAAAAAAAAAAATCCATTATCTCTAAAAACACATTATTCTTCAATTGGCCTTTTAGAGGAAAAAGGAGAGGGAGGGGAGGGGTTAATTTGGTGAGGGGGCTTGGGTGTAATTAGCCCACTGCTGCAAAACTGAGATATAGAAATCCATCGGCACCAGCTTTGGGGACACAGAGAGGCAGCGGAGAGATGGGGACTGGTTGTCAGGCTGGGTGAACAGTGGAGCAGTGGGGTTGGCGTTTGCGTGTTGTGTGTGTATTTGTGTCTCTGTGTGTGTGCAATTTTTTTCCACCCCACCACCGATTTCCCCCTCTGTCTTCCCCCAGTTCTGTCATGTTCTTGCCTTCTGTTTCCACAACCCCACTCTCCGTACCCCATACACCCCCTCCTCCTTTCCTCTAGCCCTTTCCATCTCCATGAGAAAATTCTGATTCTGATGGCTCTGCGGCTCTTTTTTCTTTTCTCTCCTTTTTGCAACACAACAGTGGTGCGATGGCCTTTCCTACATGCCACACGGATGCAGCCTTCTGATAGGAGGGCTAAGTCGGCACATCTACACACACGTTTGCACACGCTCTTGCACATACACTCCCTCTCACATGGGCACAGGTGACCAAGGGCTTGATTTTGTTCGGTCTCCTTTCCCCTGGTGGCTGTCCCCTCCCCTTCCTCCACCATGGCTCCTGTCCTCCCACCTTCATACGGGGAATGCAGTAACGCTATCCACATCTTCTCCCACACGGCTCTCCTCTTTCTCCTCGCCATTATTCTTTTCTGGAAGCTGTGGTGTGTCGCAGTTCATGGGATTAGCATGTGGGAGAGTCTTTGGGGGCAGGGACTGCAAGAGAGGGGGATTGGAATGGGGGTAGATGACATTAATGATTTTTTTTTTTGCCAAATAAGCACCGGGTGATAATGATCCAATTTAACCATCCGTGTAATATATGTTTGCGGCACAGTGGAGAAAGGTTACACGGGAAAATGGAGTATGGACTGGGTTAGCTCTGGGGAGATTTCATGCCTGGACTGTAGAGACATGACCCTCTTCCACACCCACACATGTACGCTGTCTCACTCTCTCACACACACGCACCCCAACACACACTCAGCTCTGCCCAGTGGGCTGTGTCAAACCAGAGGGCACTGCAGAATATCCCAGAGTTGTTGTGGTTTGTTGGGAGGATCGAGTGATGTCTTTGTCCTACCCAGCTCTCCACCTATGGATGTTGTCTGGTCTTGAAATTCTTAGTGGCCATTGTGTTGCCTTTTGGGTTGGGGGCTGGAGGAGTGTTTGTGTTTTGTCAAACACTGGGGTGCCTCCAATTGGACCACATGGGATTGTCGACACTGCGCGCGGCTCAGGCAGGAGGCTGCTTGCCTGTTTGGGCTGTGTGAGTGTTTGTTGGACATGCAGGTGCAGGCAGCTCTGGAGGTGTGTGGGGGTGACAGGGAAGGGGAGTTTATTGTCCCTCACTCCAGGGGAAGGAAGGTAAAGAGCAGAGGTGTTTAGTTGGTAGAGGAAAGAGGGTGATGGACTTTTTAAGATAGTTGAGAAGAGGCTGGAGGGGGAGAAACTGCTCTGGTCTCTGGTGGGAAGCCTCGTCTGCGATCCCCACGTCCTCCAGGTTGGCCTGTGGGCGGGTGCAGACTGGAAGTGGGGGAAGGTGGGCAAAACTGAGGGTTTTCCTTGCTACTCCAGGAGCCCTGGGCAGAGTGCAGGGCAGCTGTGCAATCTCGAGCATCAGCTACCCTTGGGCACCTCGGCCCTGGTGAAAGCTACGGCCCCAGGAGCTAAAATCGCCCTGGTCTGAGGAGCAGCCCCAGCCTCGGAGCAGTCCTGCTCTGGCTGCCTGAACTGCCCGGCGCCATTTTCCCTGCTCCTGTGGCTGGAGGTGTGTCCCTCTTTATTAGCAGTTATAAATGAAACTGGAAAACATTTTGCCTGAAAGAAAAAAAAGTCCTCAGAGCCAAATGCCGATTGTGGTGCATTTCTGCTATCCCTCTCCCTTCCTGGGACTGACCTTGAGAAGTTAGGGATGAAGGGTTACGACGTCACTCCTAGAGAAAGGGGGAAAATGGGGAGGAAGATGTCTCAGGGGCAAAGTATTGTGCCAACAGAGAAGAGAATGCTCTTGGGATCCCTCAGCCCTGTTCTCCTTATGTGACCCTTGCATGTGGATGGGAGACTTGGAAAAGTGGAAACATCTCTTCCAAATCTTGGGGTAAAAAAATGCACGGGCCTGGTGCGTCTGTTTGTGCTGTGGTCAGGCCCTGTCTGCCTCTAGCACGAGCCTGCTGTGGGGAGAATGCCTGAGCCGCAGCTCTGACCCTTGAGGGCCAGCTGGGGCTGCTCTGCGGATGAAGAAGCGCAGCGGTGTGGCTCGGCCAGCCACAGGTGGCAGTGCTGGTTTGTGTAGGGGCTGTGTGGGGGCTGCTCCCAGCCCCTTCCTGCAGGTCTCTGCTCAGACGATGGCTCCTCTGAGAGGCCTGCCCAGGCTGGCTTCCTAAAATAGCCCCCTCACCCCACTGCCTCCACCACTTTCCAGCCCATTACGCTGCCTTTAATTCGAACCTCAATTACTACCATATATTATATTATATAATGAAGGGTGATTGTGTCTGTCTTCGCCTCCAGAATGCAATCTCCAGGAGGTCAGGCACTTGTCTGTTTCGTTCATTGCAGTGTTCCCAGCACCCAGGACGTTTCCTGGCACATAGTGGGTGCTCCACAGGTATTTGTTGATTGGAGGAAAGAACCGTATGGGTTTGGTGTTGGGATTCTCTTTTCTTTCCTAGTAACCTAGGGCCTGTCATCTAGAAAAGCTGAACATCGCCTCTAGCTGTTGTATCCCTGCCTGCAAGTTCCACGTCTGCTCAAAGAATTGCAAAAGTGTAAAGTTTCTGAGTTCAGGAGAAAGGTCTTCTCCATGCCTATCACGGTGCCTTTGCCTCCTCCATGATCCCTCAGTTGCCACCATTTTAGTGGTAGTAGTAATGATGGTGATATAGCTACCATTTCTGAAGAACTTTATATATATAGTGAGTTCTGTACCAAGTTGTTTCTTTATATTCAGTATCTCATTTAATTCTCCAAACAATTCAGTGCCATATACTATTATTACCTGCCTTTAAGAGAGGAGGAGATGGAGACTTAGACTTATGCAGTCTAGTAAAATGTCAGATCAAGGACTCAAACTCAGAATCATCTTATTCCAAAGCCCAACTTAGTGACCCTGGTATTATATTGTTGTAGGTAGAAGGGAGACGAGCCATCAAGTCATTCAGTGCCCTCAGATACAGGTGAGAAAACTGAGGCCTAGAGATTAAATGGCTCGTCCAGGGTCATATGCCAAGTGTGACCTAGAGATGAAGCTGGGGCCCAGGTCTCCTAGCTGCCCAGGAGGTGCTCTTTCTACATCATCACGCTGCCTTGAGGATGCGTGCCTTCTCCCAAAGGGAACTGCGTTTGTGGCTGCCGGTGGGCCCCTCTTAATTCCCCTTCCTCCTCGTCAGAGGGGAGTAGGGTCTTGGTGAGGTGGGTGGGGGTAGGGGTGCCTCTGCAGACTCAGCTCCTGCAGAGCTAGAGGGAGACTGGAGGCACACAGGTGGGCTCTACCAGGGTCACTGGGGTCACGGAGTGCTGGTCAGGGTCATCCTCTGAACATGCTGGAGGAAGAGACCCCAGCGAGATGATCTAGGTTCTGAATCCCGTGTAGCCCAGCCCATCAAGGTTACTCTCAGAGGCACAGTGGCTCCATGCAGAGGTCCAAGCAGCTGGTATCTGGATCCTGATAGCCTGGTGGCTTGTGTGTTTCTCCCAGACTTGCTTAGCCCACGTTTCTCAAGAAAGGACGGCATGGGCCCAAACATTAGCCTCAGTGGGTTTCATTTCTGTTTCCAGAGGCTGTCTGGGGGACAGGATTTCATGAAATGTGGCTGCAGGGCTCCTGCTAGTCTCTCTGCTCCACCTCTAGGATTGGCTTTGACCTTGAATCAAGGAGGAATTAGACATCTTGGCCAAGTGTGTGTGTGTGTGTGTGTGTGTGTGTGTGTGTGTGTGTGTGTGTGTATGTTTTGAGAGGTCAGGATGGTGGGGTAGGAGGGCTTGAGTAAAGTGGATTCGGAGAACCAGGGAAGCCTTACTTTCTGCCAGGACCTTGAGACAGG